TAATTATAGTCTTTTGATTAAAATATGGAAATATGACAAAATTCATTTTCAGGGGGGTGGAATCCCTATTTTTGTAAAAGTTCTTCTTGATGTGGGAAATGTGTTCAAATGCATGAATTATAGTGTTTTGATGATAGTATGAAACTTTGACAAAATTCATTTTCATGAGGGGGTACACTCGATTTGTTTGTAAAAAATCTTTTTGATGTGGAAAATGTGTTAAAATGCATTAATTATAGTCTTTTGGTGAAAATATGATAATATGATAAAATTCATTCTCAGGGGGGGTGGCCTATAATTTTTTGCAAAAATTCTTTTTCATGTGTAAAATGTGTTCAAATGCACGAATTATAGTCTTTTGTTGATATTATGAAACTTTGATAAAATTTATTTTCATGATGGGTGACTCGATTTTTTTGTAAAAGTTCTTTTTGATGTGGAAAATGTGTTCAAATGCATAAATTATAGTCTTTTGATGAAAATACAAAAATATCGTGAAATTCATTATCAGGGGGGTGGACTCGATTTATTTGTAAATGCCCTTTTTGTTGTGGAAAATGTGGTCGAATGCATTAATCATAATAGTCTTTTGGTGAAGATATGAAAATATAATAAAATTCATATTCAGGGGGTGTGGCCTATATTTTTTTGTAAAAGTTCTTTTTGTTGTGGAAAATGTGTTCAAATACGTAAATTATAGTCTTTTGATGAAAATATGGAAATATGATAAAATTCACTTTCAGGGGGGTGTAATCCCTATTTTTGTAAAAGTACTTTTTGTTGTAGAAAATGTGTTAAAATGTATGTATTGAAATGACTATATACTTTTGTAATAGTAATGTTCAAATGTATGTGTTCAAATGTCGTGAACACAGTAATGTTCAAGTGGTATGTGTTCAAATGATTATAGTCTTTTGATGATGTTATGAAACTTTGAAAAAATTCATTTTCAGCGGGGGTGGACTCCTGTTTTTTGCAAAAGTTCTTTTCGATGTGCAAAGTGTAATCAAGTGCATGAATTACAGTCTTTTAATGAAAATATGGAAATATAATAAAACTCATTTTCAGGGGGGTGTGTTGGAGTCTCAAACTTCCTGAACTATCCATGTAAATACTAATATCAAACTTCCTGATCTCAAACTTCCTGAACTATCATGTAAATACTAATTAATTATTCCATGTGCTTCTCTTCTACCACTACTCTGTAACATGGCGTATATTAAACTGTTGTTATATTGAATCGCTTTTATTATCCTCCATCATGTCAAGAGACGCAACAGGGTGGAATCCCGATTTTTGTAAAATTTCATACATACATAGGCAAAACTGAACGAAACCTACACACAAGACTAACCCTACATGCCACTAATTACAATAATTCTAGTGCTATCTCACAACATTTACTCATTTGTCCAGACGCCAACTACATCTCACGCCTTTTTTCACTTCCTGACGTTGATTCCGACCCCGATATCACACGCGTGCCATTTAATCCTTGCAATTTGTTTCTAAGTAACACCAAAATCTTATATCGTAGTAAAAATAATAATCCTAATCAACTTCTCATCTTAGAAGCACTTTTGATAAAATGCAATATGCCACAACTTAATAGTGGTCTTAAAGCTTGTAAGAAACTATCTCTATTTTAATGTAAGTATATGGCCTCATTGTTTAGTCTTATAGCTCTCTAATTACATAACTGTCATTTCCACTTGTAAATATATATACGTTTCGCAGCCTGCATTGTAAACCATAAGTCTGAATAAAGACAAAATACTACACTATCGTTTGTTTCAAACTCTTGTAATATCTTGAATTTCAAGAAAACGAGATGTCCCTCTTCGGTATTTGTTTTATTTTGTATTATTTGAAATTGTCGGCTTGTTCTGGTTATTGGTCTAATCTCCGAAAAAAGTAAGAGTAGAATTCTCTTGGAAATTGCTTGGTTTAATAAATTTACAATAAAAAGGTTGAAAAAGTTTTAAAACTAGCATTTTATTATAAAACCTCTGTTGTTTTTAAAATAAATGATATTATTACAAAATAATCTAATAACCTTAAAATAATGATTTTTGAACAACTTTAACAAAATTGATTAACATTTTTTATTTAAATTTGGTTGCCTTAATAAATATGAAGACATAAACTTAAAAAATTGTGGCTTTTTTTAAAAAAAATTAGTGTCTTAAAAAATACCTATAAAAGTTCATAATATTCTAATAACAATAAAATCATGAAAAGTTAGTCTAAATTTTTTTATGTTTTGTCTTTTATATTTTATTAAGGCAATTAATTCTAAATAAAAAATATTAATCCAATTTCTTCGTTAAAGTTGTTAAAAGAATCATTATTTTAACGTTATTAGATTATTCTGCAATAGTATAACTTATCTTAAAAAGAACCGAGTTTTTATAATAAAATGCTACTTTTAAAAATTTTTCAACCTTTTTATTGAAATTTTATTAAAACTAAACAATTTCAAAGAAACGATTTCTAGTCTTACATTTTTCGTAAAATTGTGCACAATTAATGATTTTAATTTTATTAGAATATTATGAACTTTTATATGTATTTTTGAAGAAACTAAGTTTTTTTTTCATAAAAGCCGCAATTTTTTTATTTACTTTTCTAATTTTATTAAGGCGATTCACTCTAAATTAAAAAATGTTTATCCAATTTTTTTGTTAAATTTGTTCAAAAATCATTGTCTTAACGTTATTAAATTAGTTTGTAATAATATAGGTATTTTTAACAGAACAGACTTTTTATTATAAAATGCCAGTTTTTAAACTTTTTCATCCCTTTTATTGTAAATTTATTAAAACCGAGGAATTTCAAAAAAAGTTTTGTCTTACATTTTTCGTAAAATTGTGCACAATTCAGGATTTTAATGTTATTAGAATATTTTGAACTTTTTTAGGCATTTTTTAAGATAATATGTTTTGTAATAAAACCCCAAATTTTTTAAGTTTTTGTCTTCAATTTTATTAAGACAATTAATTCTAAATAAAAAATGTAATCCAATTTTTTTGTTAAAGTTGTTAAAAAATCATTATTTTAACGTTATTAGATTATTTTGTAATAATATCACTTATTTTAAAAACAATTAAATTTTTATAATAAAATGCTACTTTTTAAATTTTTTATCCTTTTTATTGTAAATTTATTAAAACCGAGCAATTTCAGAAAAGATTCTAGTCTTACATTTTTCGTAAAATTTTGCACAATTCATAATTTATTGTTATTAAAATATTTTGAAATTTTATAGATATTTTTTAAGACACATCAAAAGAACAATTACATAAATTATAATTCCCCCCCGCTGAAAATGAATTTTATCATATTTGAAAATTTTCATGAAAACAGTATAATTCATGCATTTTAACACATTTTCCACAAGAAAAAGAACTTTTACAAAAATGGGAATTCCACCCCCCCCCCTGAAAATAAAATGTATCATATTTCAAAATTCTCATAAAAAACCTATAATTTATGCATTTGAACACATTTTCCAAAGCAAAAAATACTTTTACAAAAATAGGAATTCCACCTCCCTGAAAACGAATTTCATCATATTTCAAAATTTTCATTCAAAGACAATAATTGATGCATTTGAACACATTTTCCAAGCCAAAAAGAATTTTTACAAAAATAGGAATTCCACCCCCCTGAAAATAAATTTTATCATGTTTCAAAATTTTCATGAAAACACTATAATTTATGCATTTAAACAGATTTTCCACAACAAAAAGAACTGTTACAAAATAAGAATTCCACCCCTGAAAAAGAATTTTATCATATTTTAAAATTTTCATCAAAAGACTATTATTGATGTATTTGAACTCATTTTCCACATCAAAAAGAACTTTTACATAAAAATCGAGTCCACCTCTCCTCCGAAAAATGAAATTTTCATAATTTCATATTTTCATTAAAAGACCATAATACATACATTTGAACAGATTTTCCACTACAGAAAAACTTTTACAAAAATACGAATTCCACCCCCCTTGAAAATGAAATTTATTGTATTTTATAATTTTTATCAAAAGACTACAATTCATGAATTTGAAGACATTTCCACATCAAAAAGCCCTTTTACAAGAATAGTAATTCCACCCACCTGAAAACGAATTTTTTAATATTTCAAAATTTTCATCAAAAGACTATAATTCATACATTTGAACAGATTTTCCACCAAAAAAAAACTTTTACGAAGATGGGAATTCCACCCCCCCTGATAATGAAATTTATCATATTTCAAAATTTTCATCAAAACACTATAATTTATGCATTTGAACAGATTTTCCAAACCAAAAACAACTTTGACGAAAATACCGAGCAATTTCAAAAAAAAATCCTAGTCTTACATTTTTCGTAAAATTGTGCACAATTCATGATTTATTGTTATTAAAACATTTTGAACTTTTATAGAATTTATTTTAAGACACATCAAAAATAACTATTACAAAATAAATATTACCACCTGAAATGAATTTTATCATATTTAAAATTTTCATCAAAACACTATAATTCATGCATTTGAACACATTTTCCAAACAAAATAAACTTTTACAAAATAGTAATTCCACCCCCCTTGAAAATGAAATTTATCGTATTTCAAAATTTTCATCAAAACACTATAATTTATGCATTTGAACACATTTTCCACATTTTTTTTATTTGATTTTTTAAAAGTTTGAAACTGTAAATGTTTTCATCATCTGAACAACAATAGAAATTTATTGCATTTTGAAAGGCCCCGTGTCCAGTTCCTCTCCCTCTAGTTGCTAAGCTCCGCCACCCTCTCTTCTTCTGCTTTCTAATAGTGCCCAATCTCTCTCCCTCGTAAAAATAGACAGACAAACCTGTCTAGAATCTAGTGAAAATCTTGCCAAACGTGAATTGAGTTCCTACTCGAAATGTTTGAAAGATAAAATTTCTGCGACAATTCCGCTTTCTTTTGCCATGTCGCAGTCGAGTTTCGTGCTTCATAGAATAACAGACATTGCCTGATCTAAAATAAATTCACCATAAGACAAATTGAAAATTTTTTAAAGCATCTCGGTTCTTTCATAAATAAATAATGTTTCACGAAACACTTTTTTTGAAGACGGGGGGTAGGGATAGGTAGTAAAGCATTTTGGGGAGCTTAGATAAAGCTATTCGTAGTTTTAATTACTTTCCAATCTCACAGTTAATTTTTAACACCTCAGACCATAACACATCCTCTAGGTTTAATGTTTATATAAAGTGATCAATAGGCGTGTTACAACTCAAATACATAACATGGCATAAATGAGGTAAAGTTAGAGAGCAACATCCAACTGGAGGATGATGCCACTCCAGAAACTTCGTTTGAAAAGTTGCCTTTAAAAAAACACGACGAATATGTCAACTGAAATAAAAATTACGTAATGTTGTACTGAGGAGTCACTAGAGGGTGAACAAAGTACTCAATTATATTAAGGGGTGTGGGTAAAGACGGAAATATGGGGGTAAAGGAAACTGAACCCGTCGAGGTTTAATATCGCCACGCTACCACATAAATTTTTTCACTTTGGGGATTTTCGTCTGAATGTATTATTGACGTGTTTATTGCATTCAATGGCGAAGTAAATTGACCAATCAAAAACGACTTAATAAATGTTTGACATATGATATTCAAGAAAGTTTGGCTATTTTTAAAATTATATCAATTCCTTTCTTTTTTCCACAAAACTCTCAAAAATGACTTAAATGTTAGTGACGTTTTGAGACAATCACTATTTTCCAAATTAAATATAACTCTGATATTAAACTGTTGAAAACACAGATGAAGTCAGACCAGCTAAAATGAGTAATTTTATAAACTCAATACAATTACCTTTTCTGAAGCAAAGACTATATCACACATTGCGAGAAGGGAAAGACCAAATCCAGCTGCTGGACCGTTTACCGCAGCGATCAAAGGTTTAGGACACGTGACAAGCAGTTGTAGGTCGTATTTATTGCAGGTCTACACCACAATCTGAATAATCTGCACCTGTATGCATTTAACGGCATAAATGTGCCATTCAATGAACAAACCTAAAATCAGTACCATCATTAAAAACAATTGATATTTTCACAAGAACAATAAACATAAAGCAAGAGGCATATCATCATTTATCACAAAACCTTTTCTATTGATGATGTCGGCTATAACCAAACTTTTTATATCTTCGTTTGTAGCTACTTCATTCCTTTATATACGCAACTTCAAGCAAAGGGAAAGGGACCACTTCAATACCCCAGTTATATCATCACATAAAGAATGTTTAGTGCAGAGTTGATCTTCTGGGAGTATCAGTTGACCACCTTCAGGTGGGCTCATATAATAATGGGGCCCATCATCATTATATGAACAAACAACTGACATGCACAAAGAAACCAAACTACAAATAAACATTCTTGGCTATGAATCACCATGACACACGAGCAAGGAAAAACTAGTAAGAGTAATTGAAGTGAATGAGAGAGGTGGTAAAGGGACTTTCACAACTCCATCCATGTGGGATCTGCAATATGACAAAATATGAAATAATGATATGCAAAGTAACAATGCATCAGCAAATTTAATTTATTATGAAATCTCATGCATCTCTTTCATATTATATTACATTGACTCCAAAAGACTACAGTTCCTGCACTTAACACCATAAGATTAGAGTTCATGAACATAACTCCTGACTGTTATAGTCTATGCCCCTAAATCACAAATATTATAATGAATCCACCTAAATCACTAACACTATAACTTCCTGCACCTAACTCATAAGCACTATAATTCACACAATTAGCTTGCAAACACTATATTTCATGCACCTCACACTCAAAAACTATAGTTTATGTCCCACTCAAAAACTATAGTACCAATAATTAAATACAATAGATTTTTATGAGATGACTTTTATCACAATATCTTTTTAGATGTGTTCCTGACGCTAGTAAACGTGAAAATCAAGTTGTTGGTGATTATATCTGCTAAATATGATTGAAGAAAAACATCGAGCCAAGAATCATCTAAAGATATAGAAACATAATATAAACTTACTACATCGCTTTCAATTTCATTGATAATGGCTTCTTCACCAAACTTCAACGAACGAATTTTGACATTGCCTAAATGTAAAAGGAGTAATGTTGCAAAGGAAGCAAAACGAGAAATGTCCTACGTCAATATATCTCACATTCCAAATTTACTTTACACGTTTTTCTGCCAAAGCTGCGAGTCGCTTTTTCTTGTCTTCATCTCATCAAGCAAACATTAATTATAATTTTGAAAACAGCAATTCTTGGTTTTCATGTGTGTCTTAGGGGAATAACAAACAAAGAAAGGGCATCCACCATGTTGCCTAATAGCAAAGGGAATCCAATGATATTATTTTGTAAGGAGTCCATCAGCATGACGTACATGAAAACCACCAATAGTTTCCATAAACTAACAAATTCACAGTTTGAAAACGGATCGCTTTCTTCTATACCAATTGCATGTTAAAAGTTCATTGCCAATGGCTGCTTCATCAAACTAATTATAAAAAGTGTTATGTTCAAAGCAAGCAAAATGAGACATGTGGGAAGTCATTATCTCACAGTCCAATTTACTTTAATTTACATAGATATGATGCGAACTGTAGAGACAACGACACTTATCACTTTATCATAAGACATGTGTCTAATATAGACAAAAGAATCAGCCACCATGGGGTTGCTGCAAAACTGCAACGTCAATTTAAGTTTATTGCAAAACCAATCAAATTCTTTCATACTCATTACACTAGTTTAAATTCATAAGAAAATTGAAAATTTTCGATCCGTGCCATGCCTTAACAGCTTTCTCTAATCTTCCAAGTTGACTTTTTATAAGGCATTGATATGTGGTTAATCTCTTTTACCTCGAATTTTGTTGTAGATGGACAACTTTTCGCATAAGACAGAATATTTCACAATAAAAAAACCGTCTGTGAAAAACTATACTTTTAAAATTGTAGTTGTTCATTCTTATTTATGCAAGAGAAACCGCAAGTTATTAGTAGCCTTACAGATCTTCTTTCTCAATCAGTAAACCATAAATTTTCTTTTACTGCTCAAAATTTTTTTAAAAAAAAGGTGTGCAAACAGCAAGCAGTTTTAGATTATGTTCGTAAGCCATGAAAACCGCATGAAATTTTTGTGACTATCTATAAACATCTTCACACGTTTCTCAAAATCACATTCAGTTTCAGTTCCAAAATTTATATTTTTCTCGTAATTATAAAGCATTTTGTAAGTTGCTCTATTCATAACAGCTTAGCTTTCCGCTAATAAATAAGTGATAATGAGCAAAGTACATACAACATGTGGCTTTCAGCTTCGTAAACCTTATTCTTCGTTTGTGGCGTTGACAAAACTACAACGAGAATTTCTTCTTTTAAAGTACATATTATTACTCCATAAATCTATTTATTGAGTCTTAAATAATCGCAATGATTGTTGTACCTTGAAGCAATTGAATGAAAAGAGAGAGACTTGCGGCTGCGAGATGCCCCCTTGCTGCAAGTATTTGTCCTTTGTTGCATATTTCAAATGGTTTTGAATAAACGGAACTTTTAATGTACTGAACCAGCAGCTGGTGGAAATGTCGAAGAAAATCTTCCACCAATAATTAAATACAATAGATTTTTCTGAGATGACTTTTACCACAATATCTTTTTGGACGTGTTCCTGACGCTAGCAAACGTGAAAATCAAGTTGTTGGTGATTATATCTGCTAAATATGATTGAAGAAAAACATCGAGCCAAGAATCATCTAAAGATATAGAAACATAATATAAACTTACTACATCGCTTTCAATTTCATTGATAATGGCTTCTTCACCAAACTTCAACGAACGAATTTTGACATTGCCTAAATGTAAAAGGAGTAATGTTGCAAAGGAAGCAAAACGAGAAATGTCTGACGTCAATATATCTCACATTCCAAATTTACTTTACACGTTTTTCTGCCAAAGCTGCGAGTCACTCTTTCTTGTCTTCATCTCATCAAGCAAACATTAATTATAATTTTGAAAACAGCAATTCTTGGTTTTCATGTGTGTCTTAAGGGAATAACAAACAAAGAAAGGGCATCCACCATGTCGCCTAATAGCAAAGGGATCCAATGATATTATTTTGTAAGGAGTCCATCAGCATGACGTACATGAAAACCACCAATAGTTTCCATAAACTAACAAATTCACAGTTTGAAAACGGATCGCTTTCTTCTATACCAATTGCATGTTAAAAGTTCATTGCCAATGGCTGCTTCATCAAACTAATTATAAAAAGTGTTATGTTCAAAGCAAGCAAAATGAGACATGTGGGAAGTCATTATCTCACAGTCCAAATTTACTTTAATTTACATAGATATGATGCGAACTGTAGAGACAACGACACTTATCACTTTATTATAAAACACGTGTAATATAGACAAAAGAATCAGCCACCATGGGGTTGCTGCAAAACTGCAACGTCAATTTAGATTTATTGCAAAACCAATCAAATTCATTCATACTCATTACACTAGTTTAAATTCATAAGAAAAATTTAAAATTTTCGGTCCGTGCCATGCCTTAACAGCTTTCTCTAATCTTCCAAGTTGACTTTTTATAAGGCATTGATATGTGGTTAATCTCTTTTACCTCGAATTTTGTTGTAAATGGACAACTTTTCGCATAAGACAGAATATTTCACAATAAAAAAACCGTCTGTGAAAAACTATACTTTTAAAATTGTAGTTGTTCATTCCTATTTATGCAAGAGAAACCGCAAGTTATTAGTAGCCTTACAGATCTTCTTTCTCAATCAGTAAACCATAAATTTTCTTTTACTGCTCAACATTCTTTTTAAAAAAAAGGTGTGCGAACGGCAAGCAGTTTTAGATTATGTTCGTAAGCCATGAAAACCGCATGAAATCTTTGTGACTATCTATAAACATCTTCACACCTTTCTCAAAATCGCATTCAGTTTCAGTTCCAAAATTTATATTTTTCTCGTTATTATAAAGCATCTTGTAAGTTGCGCTATTCATAACAGCTTAGCTTTCCGCTAATAAATAAGTGATAACGAGCAAAGTACATACAACATGTGGCTTTCAACTTCGTAAACATTATTCTTCGTTTGTGGCGTTCACAAAACTACAACGAGAATTTCTTCTTTTAAAATATATATTATAACTCCATAAACCTATGTATTGAGGCTTAAATAATCGCAATGATTGTACTACCTTGAAGCAATTGAATGAAAATTGATGAGAGACTTGCGGCTTCTTGCGAGATGCAGGCCACTTGCTGCAGAGTGTTTGTCCTTTGTTGCATATTTCAAATGGTTTTGAATAAACGGAACTTTTAATGAACTGAACCAGCAGCTGGTGGAAATGTCGAAGAAAATCTTGATAAACCATTGAATAAATGGCTGGTCACGGTTAGAAGAGGTAGTCTATTGAATGGGTATGACTGGCAATTGTTCGAGATAAACCATTGAATAAATGGCTGGTTATGGTTAGAAGAGGTGGTCTATTGTTGGAGCATGATTTTCTAGTAGTTAACAACAAACCTTTGGGGTCAAAGCATTGTATTTATCAGGCCTGTTCATTGTGATTGTCCTCAAACCGCCATCAGGAGAGACAAGAATATTTTCAAACTCATTTGATGTATTAATGTCTTTGTTGGGTTGGCTGTTAATCTTGGGTTCTTGTCCTGAAGTTACATTTAAGAAATATTGAATAAATTTGCAATAACTAATTTGCAATAACTGTTTTGGACTAAACAGCCCAAAAGTGTAAGAGATTGAGTTCAAAGATATTTCATCTCCTTAATGAATGACTAAGGTGTTTCACTTGCACGTCAAAACTTTTCAACATTATTAAATTTTAATAACTGTAGACATATAACAAACATACTCCTGTAATGTTAAAACATTGTTAGTCAAAAATCTGTTCTATAGTTCAATGTTGAGAAGGACATGTACACAACAGGGAAATGATGTTTATACAGAATATTTTGCAGAAAAGCTTTGTGTTTATAATACACAGCAAAGTTAAAATCACCTAGTAAAGTCTCCACAAGTGCTATATACTGTTTTTGTGCATCTACCTAAAAGAAATGTTCAATTTAAAAGTATTCATTACATGCAATAGAAGTTTTTTTCAAAAGGCCTTAGGTATTTGATAGAGAATCAATGGTAACATTTGCATTTTTTTCCTGCATCACCAATACTAAGAATGTTAAGTACAAAATTTTACTCACCTAAATGTTAAGGAATTCTTTGTAAATACAAATAGGGGATATAATTCAGATTGCATGCTTGGAGAGAAACTATGTATATTAAAACCATTGAAAAGCACAGATTTACATGCAGATATTTTAGCTGTATGCTCCGGTAGGTGTATATGTACTCATAAATTCCTGAAGACCCACACACTCAGTTCTTAATTAACGGTGTGCTGTCAACTTTGCATAAAACAACTTTTTTACTGTAAATAATTTGATGACGATAGATTTTAGTAAGACTTGTGAGAGTGTTCAATAAAATTGTTGAAAGATACAGTCCTTTGGTGATGTTTGAAACTAGATACATATTGAATGCTCATTATAAGATAAGTGCAGCCTTTCTTAAACTAAATATTCACCTGTGATAAATCACCCAAATCGTTCCATGCATTCCATTTTGCCTTTCCAACAAAGTCCAAAGTCCCAGGCTTTGGTGTATTACATTTGCCTAAAGAACCCTGGAAATGTATATTGTTAATTGGGTTCGTCTTATTTTTAACTTTGATTGTATTGTATGGTGGGACTGTGAACAGTTATAATTGAAAAAAAATTGATTGTGCCTTTGCAAAAATGTGATTCAACTGAGATGATTCCTATTGTGCATTAAAAATGTAAAGTCACCATTTAATTTAATTGAAGAGCTTGTAGGTAGGAGATACAACAACTAATGTTCAAGCTTTATGTAAAAACCGGATACAATATCTTTATGAATCGTAAAATACCTGCTTAAAAGGGCGTACATCTATGACTTCAATTCATTCCCTGGATCTTGAGTTAAAGATCCCACTTTGTCTTTGCTTCTTTAAACTGGTGAGAGGTTGCAGAGAACTTCGAACCATCTTCGTAAAATGTTCAGGTTTAAATAACGTCGAGATAGATAGTTCACTATTGTCGCAGAATTCACTGAGTTCGTCCAGAAAATTGATCTGCACTCTGATTCGGTTTGTTTTATGGAGTTTATTAGCAATGAACAATCTACACAATCTCTTCGACTATTACAAATTTGAGTCTATTTATATGTTTACATTTCGTGACTTACGTGCACTATTACAACATGAATTAATTAAGAGAAAATACTTAGGAAGTGTTAAGTATATACACCCTAATTTAATTATAATTTTGGCACACATAAAACTCTGCATGGGAACTTATAAAATCTGGCATGCAATAAAAATATAAATGAAATATCCTAAATTATACAACACTCTCCCCTTGACTCACTCAGGAGTCAAGCATCGCTAACCTTCCACCTGGCGTCCAAAGCCGCCTTTCTCTTAGTCTTCTCCTTACATCCGCTAACTATATCCTCCTTAACAACCCTTCAACCTTACTCTCGTCTTTAACCTCAACTGGATATAAATGCTGAATCGCTCTATTCAACACCTGGCGACGACCGTTTGTCATCACGCAAACCCTTGCACCACGAACGACCTTATCCTTGCCACAAATCAATTCCTGAATCACACCTGTCTTCCACTCCCCCCTTTTCTTACCCTGCTCAAACACAATGACCACATCCCTGGCTTAATTATCGCCGACTGTTTGTCTGCCATCCCAACCTTATGAAATTCCCGAAGATTCGTGAGATACTCCCGTTTCCACCTGCTCCAAAAATGCTCCAGTATGGTACTTAAATGTTTGAATCGTGTCCTAGTGTTTGTTCTAGTCGAATCTTGTCCTAAATCATTAATTTTTGAGTCCTTGCTATCGGGTAATGTCACGATGCGCCTACCATAGACTAAATGTGCAGGAGTAAGTACTTCACTATTCACTTCCTCGTACTCATACGTTAAGGGTCTAGAATTCAAATTAGCTTCAACTTCAGCTAGAACAGTTGTCAGTTCGTCGAAAGTAAGTTTTGCATTGCCCAAAACTTTCCTTAAACAGACTTTCACTAGCCCTATCATCCTTTCGAAAACCCTCCCACCATGGGGCCCTCTCTAGGTTAAATCGCCACTCAATGTTCTTAGCGCTAAGGCAATTATCTACTTCTTCGCATTGAAATAAGTCGCGCAACGTCTTTTTTGCGGCTTTAAATGTTTTGGCGTTGTCAGAAACAATAAGTTTCGGTGTTCCAAACCTTGCAAAAAATCTTCTTAAACAGCGCAGAAATGTCGCTGCACTCAAATCGTGCACTAACTCTAAGTGAACCGCGCGTGTCACACAGCAGGTGAACAGCGCAATGTACACCTTGCTCATACTTGCCTTTGTTTTACGTACAAAGGTCCTGCAAAATCTACGCCTGAATTTTCAAATGGTGCGGCTCTCCTAACCCTAAACTCTGGTAACGCTGCTTGCTTTATTTGTGTACACGGCTTACTGTTCCATCGTTTACAAGCTACACATCCACCGCTCACTCTCTTAACTTCCTGTCTGCCCTTGGGTACCCAATACTTCGACCTCAGTTGCGCCAACGTGCTCCGAACTCCCCCATGCATAACAGATTCATGACACTGCCTAATCACTAGCTCTGTGAAATACTGTCTCCTAGGCAAAACAATCGGCTCTCTAGCTTCTGCCTCCAAATCTGATTCACCCAATCTTCCCGTACAATGCAGTATCCCGTTCATTTCTATCAGTCCGTACTGTCTTTCTAACTGCTTAAACTCGGGTTGCTCTCGTAACTCTAGCTGGGCTGACTTTATCCACTCGCATTCTCCATCATTCATTTCGCTCGCTTTTATTGGTCCGGTAAAAATTTCTAATCCTAGTCTTTTTTGTTTCAAATTATAGACGAATCTCTTCACCCACGCAGTAACTCTTAACAGCCGTGTAAGTGTGCTGTATTTACTTATGCTAATGACATTGCCAATTCCAAACAATGACCTTGCACTTATGATTAGGTTAACAACAAATGACCTTTTCTCTTCAACCTTGCTGTCTACTGTGGGAACTATCTCCTTCACCATAGGATAATGCCTTGGACTACCCCGCAACCAAGACGGTCCTGACCACCAAACCTCCGCGTTCTTTAACTCAGTCATCAAGACCCCTCGCGACCCTAAATCTGCAGGGTTTTCCTTACCTGGACAATGACTCCACTCTGTTTTTGAACTAAGCCTTAATATTTCGTCAACTCTATGCTGAACAAATTGCTTCCAATTGCCTGAGTTGACTATCCAATACAAAACAGTCATACTATCAGTCCAATACTTAACGCCCTCAAAATTATACTCTGACTCTAACGCTTTCCTGACTGCAGACATTAAATGAGCCAATATTCTAGCTGCCATTAATTCTAACCGCGGAATACTAAGTTCTTTCATCGGGGCTACTCTTGTTTTGCTGGCAATCAACTTAACACGAACATCGTTACCGTTCAAAACTACTAGATACACAACCGCACAATAAGCTCGCTTTGACGCATCCCCAAATCCATGCAAAAAATATCTCTGCTTTGATTCTGAGCCAGATGTGTCAGTCACGCCGCTCGAGTACCTGCCTATTGAAACACTCTTTACCTCCTTTAGATCTCTCAACCACTTCTCCCACTTCTCTTTCACACTTTTAGGCAATGTATCGTCCCAATCCACGCCACTGTAACAAATATCTTGAAAGAGAATTTTAGCTTTAACAATCGTAGGACTCAAGAGCCCTAATGGATCGAAGATACAAGCTAACAGACTCAACACATTTCTCTTCGTCGGTTCCGTGTTTTCCGCTTTCGCACTCAAATTTTCGAAATCGAATATTATTACGTCCCCGACGCTATCCCATTCCAACCCTAATACTTTACCAAATTGACCCTGTACTTGAGCAAGCGTGGTTTTCGCATACGTTTGCTCATCAACGCAACTACTTTCCACGTCACGCACATCTTCTTCAATTTGCGATCTTAACGCACTATCATTAGTCCGCCATTTGCGTAACTTAAATCCGCCTTCATTCATGCGTTCGTTGGCCTTACGATATAGCTGATACGCTCGCTCTGTACTAGATTCACCGCTGGCAAGATCGTCCACGTAAAAGCTTTTAGCAGTTTTTCTGAAAATTCCCTATCGCACTGTAAATATTTGCTAATATGATGCCTTAACGTCGAATTAAGCAAAATGGTGACGAATTCACCCCAAATACGACTCTACAAAACGGTAAACTACAAGATTCAAATTGTTGCGCAGTACATCATCTACCCACAAAAACCTTAGGCTATCTCGATCCCTTTCGTGCACTTCAATGTTTAGGAAGGCCTTCTCTATGTCCGCTATTAGCGCTATTCTTTGCTCACGGAACCTAAGCAGAATATCAAACAAAAGTGGATTAAGTGAAGGTCCGATATGCAAACAATCATTCAAAGAGACACTTGACTTGAGTACTTTAGCGCTTGCGTCATAAACCACTCTAACCTTTGTCGTCTTGGCATCCTTTCGCACGACAGCTTGATGAGGCATGTAATGTATTTTGGCATGAGAATTAATCACACTATCTTTTCCTACCCTCTCTATGATGCCTAACTCTTCTTGGGCCTTAATGATAGTGTCATATTCCTTCAGTAATTCTGGGTTCTTACCTAGTCGTCTGATTTGTCCCTTCATTCTCTTAAGACTTAAGTCATAGTTAGTAGGTAAAGGATCGTGACCCTCCCTCCAGGGCAACCCCACTGAATAACGCGTACCGTCAAAACTAAGATCGTTTATGACCGATTCATGCACATCACTTACTTTGTCCTTAATTCCTAGGCTTTCTAAATCCCAAAAGTTTTCTACGTTGATACAAGTTTTATTAGCGGAGCAAAAATTTACCTGAGCAGTGGCGGGTTGATTCTTATCCGTGCTTCCAACCGGCCCTGAAACTACCCATCCAAGCACCGTCTCGATAGCCACAGGCTCCCCCTGCTTCCCTCGCATAATACGACCTTTCTGCAACGACCACAAGTAATCCGCACCCACGAGTACGTTTACCTCCAATTCCTCATTTACCTTACAAACATCAGACAACCACAACCCCTTCAAATGTTCAAAGTTATTTCGAACCACCTCCAAATGTTGATTACTAATTACTGATATTTCTGGTACAACATATGCCTCGATAGATACGACTTCACCACCCGACAACGAACTCAAATCCAATCGCACAACCCTTCTCAACTCGTTCTCTAAAGCCCTTTTCCCAAACGTTCCTATTCTCAGATTTTCTTCACGAACGACTTTACATCCCAACGCTTTAGCCGTCCTTTCAGTAACAAATGATCTCTGACTCCCAGAATCCAACAAAACCCTTACTCGTCCCGACTTACTACCAACCAGTTTTGCTTGTGCAGTTTGCAAAGCAACATTGCATCCTGCTTTTCACAACTATTCTTAGGACTTACAAATAGAGTATTACTACTATTGGCATCTACATTCCCAACCTCCCTTGTCCAACAGTTCCCTGGGGCTTACTTTCCTTTCCCGAATCACACAGAGCCTTGTGGTGATTCTTCTTACATATACTACATTTAATATTGTTGTCACAGTCACGAGCCTTGTGGCCCTTTTCCAAACAAATATAACAACGACCGTATTTCTTAATAATATTCTTACGTTCCTCAATTGACTTGATCTTCTCACATTCTTCATGCCGATGACATCCCAGGCAGAATGCGCAACGAACCGGTCCCGATTTTGTCAGGAGGGCGCTTGCTGTTTTCGTATCGTTCCGCCTGGCTCCATTTGACGACTTCTCAGGATCACCATGCCGTTCTCGTTGCTCTCTCTGAACTCGATGCTCTTCTCGCAGCTCAACTTCGCACTTTAACGCTCTTAACATATCGTCCATATCCCACTGATGGAAGTTTTCGCCTCTCGTGATCAACAATCGAATCGATTCCGGTATCAAGTTCAAAACGTAAGGTACCACGATTGATGAATACGTAGCGCTGTCCACTCCCAATGCATCCAAACCTCGATGATGTGCTTCGACACTATCACACAAGTGACGAAGAGACGTAATATCTCTCGGATCTTTCACTCTATCTAAGTTCAAAAGTTTTGCATGTGCGCTCGTTGGACCGATTCTGGCTTCCCATAGCGTTCCTTCAACGCGTCTATTGCAGCGTTGTAGTTCGCCGAAGTCAAAGAATATCCCGCGATACATGACTTCGCTGGTTCGCCTAAGAGTCCCCGAAGATAATTGAATTTGTCAACGTCGGACAAACTTCCATTTCCGTGAATGGCGCTTTCGAAGGAATCCCAAAACTCCTGCCATTCGCAAACATTTCCATTGAACCGCTTAACGTGCAGCTTTGGCAATTTTGCGCAAACTGTTCTATTGGTCACCGACGCTCCTCCGTCAGACCTTAACGAACTGTTCATTCTATTTTCCGAAGCGCAATTGCCGTCAATCTTTTGGCGAAGCTTCCTCGCCATCGACTTTGCTTCAGAACTTATTCTTCCAGCTTCCTCGACTTCGCTGACAATGTCAAGTTCTGACGCTTCTTCGTCCCCAGCAATCAAGTTAAGGATGTCTTCATCCAGTTTTTGGAGCATAGCGACTGTCTCCAAGATTTTGTCGCGTTGCTGTTCCGCGTCATTCTTTCTTCGTTCATCGAATGCGTCGACTAAGCCTGCTGCCGACGCCACAACTTTCGTCAGGTAACCGCGATGACCTGCTCGTACTCTTTTCTTTCTTGCTAACTCCTCCATACTATCCGGCTCGAAGGACCACTTGTCGCAGAATTCACTGAGTTCGTCCAGAAAATTGATCTGCACTCTGATTCGGTTTGTTTTATGGAGTTTATTAGCAATGAACAATCTACACAATCTCTTCGACTATTACAAATTTGAGTCTATTTATATGTTTACATTTCGTGACTTACGTGCACTATTACAACATGAATTAATTAAGAGAGAAAATACTTAGGAAGTGTTAAGTATATACACCCTAATTTAATTATAATTTTGGCATACATAAAACTCTGCATGCGAACTTATAAAATCTGGCATGCAATAAAAAATATAAATGAAATATCCTAAATTATACAACAACTATACCACGACGAAAAATTGCATGTGATTTACAAACTCTTGGCGTCACGTTCATTTGCTATAATAAAATTGACAATAAATATTTTTTCATTATTGATTGAACTTTCGACGAATAAGAAAATTGACATCTAGAAATGACATGAATGAAAGGCAAAAGTAAATCAAACATGTGACTATTTTTGACCAATGACATTAGGATGTTGATAGGGGTTACAATGGATGATAGTGGATAATTATGGACATGCTTTCAAAATGGCGTATGCTAAACAATTTTATTTTCAGTCAACTTGGAGCACACTTAATCATTTTATGGCAAGAATAGGTAAATGTTGGCTGAACTGTATAAAATAAGGCGTTCGGAAGCGTAGAAAAGGACTTGAGGCATATACAAGACAACTATCTTCACGTAGCAGACTGACATTTGTGGTGAATTCACTGAATTGTTCTGGAAGCTTAAAGTTATTGGTTGTTATTCTGGCTATGTGAATCCAATCTATCTGCATGAGTTCTATCATGATTTTAAACAGCAAATCGATGCGTTACGTATGAGTTGTATCGACCTGCTTACTACACAGTCAACACTTCACCAATTTGGAATTTGAAACATTTTGGTGATGAGAATTTTATACCGACGTAGAGGCGCGGATCCAGCTCCTTAGCTGACCGATGCATTGCGAGCGCCGAAGGCGCGAGCCACCGCTAGGGGGGTCTGGGGGCATGCTCCCCCAGAAAATTTTTGAATTTTCACTATCCGAGAAGCATTTTCCAGCGATTTGGGAAAGGTGACAGAAAAATCTTAAGCGTAAATTTTATCGAAAAAATAACATGAGCCGTCTTTTGTTAGATAACAGCATTGATAAAAGCAATGTTCAAAGGTGGTCTTCCAACGGTAAAAAAGATGAAAAGTTTAATGAAAGCAATGTTCAAAGATGGTCTTCTTCTAACGGCAGCAAAGATGACAACAATTATAAAAGCAATGTTGAAAGATCGTCTTCTTCCAACCACAGCAAAGATGAAATGTTTAAGAAAATCAATGTTTAAACGTGGTCTTCGTCCTCTCAATAACGGCTGAAAACAAGATAACTCTCAAAGAAAATGTAGGTTGTTTATCAGCATTAAGAATTTCTCATGGAGCTCATCGTCAAGCATCTGTTTCTTTATCCTCCAGGATATCAAGAAATTGCATCCTCGTTGGGTTTTGTCTAGCAAAGGTATTAATCACTTCTTCGACATCACACTTAATATCATCATTAATATGCATTTGGGCTAATCCATTTAACCTTTCGTTGATCATTGTGCTACGTAACCAAGTTTTCATTCGACGAAGGGCAGAAACGGATCTTTCACACTCACATTTTAATGTAATCCATACAATACATAAACTAAAATGCAACTAAAATCGCACCTAACCCTGCATATTACAGTTTGTATTATATTACATATGAATACAAGTATAAGTGCTGCATAAGTAATATGACATCGTGTATATTTTTTGATGATTGTTCGTCGTTATCTACACGACTACACTCTGAGTCTGAAATGAGTACACTATTTACATTTAAAACATGCAAGCATAAAGGTAAATTTACTTACTTTAAAGCTCTTAGTTCTCCACTTTGCCAATGAACTGTCAAGTGCTTAGGTATTAACATTTCACTTGACATATCTCTCCCATTTTACCCTTTGAAAGGGATTCCAAGGAGAGGATTTTGAAATAAAAGTAGCAGCTCTCGTTTCATAGGTTCGACGCACTCCATTAATATCAAATGACTTCTCTTCTCGAAGCAGAGTACACAGATCGTGTTTGATATTCTCGACAGCCATGACTTCGATCGATGATTGCGAGTTATATCAAGTGATCAAATAACAATGCATTCAACTTTGAAGTTCAAAGTTGAATGCATCGGTGCCATGTGCCCACAATCACAAAATTATGGAAAATGCATCGCTCAGCGGCAAAATCTACCGTGACGTGAGGCCCTAAAACAATGGTTTTGCTGATGTCACAGTAGATTTCACGCGGAAAAGGACTCGGGACCGATGCATCGCAAATCTACTGTGACGTGGCGATGCCTCTTCCATCTACCGTGACGTGCTGGCAGAATACTATTAAATTACTTACTAATTATGTATTCACGACAAAATTTCGCTAAATTTTATCGACTTTTCTTTCGCTATTTGTGTCATGGAATACGACAAAATTATCGGAGAACACAAATGTTATTTCTAGAACAAATTTTAGCTTAAAACTGCTAAATCTATAAGTTAACTAAACAATATATCACTGTCAAATGTGCGTTTTAAATAATTCGAAAATAATATTTGCTGTTTATTTCATTAAAATGCAAACTCGCAGATTTTAATATCTAAATATTTTGACCGATGCATTCGCATCGGTTGCATCGGTCTAGATCCGCCCCTGCGGCGACGTATCCCTGCGATAAAAAGACTCATAGAGTCCTTAAGCGGTGACATCACGTTTCCATGGTGCTAAAAATCTCAGTTCTAAACAATAGACCATTCGATTAAAAATGGAGACATTATCCATCGCTTCGCTTTTTTCTTTCTTCTCAGAAGAAAGAAAATCTATAAAAAAGGGGGAAAACCACTTTAAGTCAGATCACATTGAAGCATTTACTTACCAGAAGGGTGTTTTACGAGGAGAAGTACATGCAAGCATGAAAAAAAAGTCTTATAAAGTGACGGTGAGTTGTGTTTGCATCATCAATCTTTTACTAGTAGCATCTTGCCGGAAAAACCGTTTCTATTTGCCGAACTAAATGCCATTAATCTTGACATCTTGCAGATTTATTTGGATGAAGAACATGAAATCAAATCAACCGAGTGTGAATGTCCAATAGGCGTGTTTAAATGCAGTCACGCAGCAGCCCTCTTTATTCACGGTATTCACAATCTGAGCCGAACCGACGTCGAATGCCAGTGGCGGAAACGAAAGTGAAATACATCGCTTTCAACTCAAGCAGTCACAGAAATGTTCCCCCCGCCTAAAAGGTATTCTGCTCTGTCGAGAAAGCCTACACAAGCTGACCGTTGCGCGTTGTACGAAGACCTGAAGGAATATGGGCGGTTTATGGGGCTCTGCTGGCTAATCAGCCCTGAGCCACCTATTGCTAACCAGCTTCCTTTTCCAACCATAGAAGAAATTATTTTCTCTGACGAGTTTCTTCAAGCCACTGGGCGTCAGGAGCAGCTGGACTGTTTGGTTCGCCTTTCCAGATTACAAGAAACGGACATTTTAAGGGTTAGCGAATTAACTGCTGGCCAGCGAGACAACCCGGCCTGGTTTTTGGCGAGAAGGGGCCGCCTTACAGCCAGTAACTTCGGCTCTGTCCTAAAGACAAAGAGGATCACTCCTTCACTTATTAAACATCTTCTCGGAGAGTACGACCTATCAAGGGTAAAGGCAGTGCAATGGGGAGTAACTAATGAAGAGGAAGCCATCAAAGCATTCACCCTGAAAACAGGGTTGGCAGTGAAAGGAACTGGAATCTGGTTTCATTCATCTGGAATTCTTGGTGCATCTCCAGATGGTATCATTGATGAAGGAACTATTCTTGAGGTGAAGTGTCCGTACACAGAACGGAACCTAACAGTAGCAGAGGCAGTGGAGTCAGCAACATTTTGCCTTGAAAAATGTACAAGTGGACAGGGCTACGCCTTGAAAAAGGACCATGTTTATTGGCACCAGATCCAGGGAGAATTGTACTTCTCACGTAGGAGGTTTTGTTATTTTGTGGTATGGACCACAAAGGATATAGCTATTGTAAAAATAGAAAGAGATGAAGAATGGGTGGCAAACATTCCTGTCTTGACCCAATTCTATTTTGATAATATATTCCCTAGAATAGTGGAAGGAGAATTGTAATTTGCTAATTATGGATAAATATTGTAATCCCTAGGAGGTAAAATCATCCCTTTACTGTTATATTAGTATGACACCCCCCCCCAAACAGCTGTATTTTCTTCTAAGTAAGCCTCAGTCTACAAATTATTTTATTTCTGTTTGAACAACAATAATTATTAAAAAACTGTCCAATGTAGTCTTCAAGCATAAGACTACTCAAAAAACCATATTTTCACATCCCTCTTTGATGAGAGGAAATTGCAAATTTACAAGTGCTGCACATAACTGAAACAAAATGTCAGCATAGCAGCGCAAATATGTAGGATTGAAGCCTAAAATTTTGAATTCTTTCAGCCTAGCATTGGCTCTTTCCACATGAATCCGTGCTTTAGCTATGGCTTTTGTTTTCTTGACCTCACTCTCTGTGAAAGTTCCATTATTAAGAAAAGGTGGGATATTGACACAGACACCATGTGGTACAACATCCTGGATAAGGAAAACCTTGTCTGCCAGAATCATATCTCCAGCTGTCAAGTGATTAAGGAGTCCAGACTATTGCACAATGGCCTTGTCTGAAATAGAGCCTGGATACAGCCAACTGACATAAGTAATGACTCCATTGGGTGCAACACCAACTATTACCTTAAAGGAATTCATTCCTCTGTATGATGAATAGGTTGCATTTTGCTGACTCATCAATCCCGGTGCAGCAACCTCAATATCTGTGCAGTCTATAACAATCCGACAGGATTCAAATTGCCTGAAAGAGGAGGTGCAGAGATCTTGTTTTTCC